AAAAGCTAGATTGCCATGATTTTATTGCACTTTTTAGATTGTGTTTGAGACTGCAACCACCAATTCATGGGTGCTTAATGTGGAGACAGAATTTGGTTCTATAACCTGGTCAACATATTGCAGGAGTATGAAAAGCTGTATCTTTTCCTCAAGAAAAACAGAAGATATTACAGTTTTGTTTATCATTCATCAAGAATTCCTACTTGAGAGGGTTAAGAGTAACCTAATATCTCCAGCAATGTATGAATGGTTCCTAAAAATGGAAGTTAATGTGAATTTTCCATTTTTATTATTATTTCCTGAGTGTATATCAGTCTTTCTCAATTGCCAGTCCCTCACAAGCATTTTGCTGATTTGTAAGATGAGCTGGGAAATTAAGAGATAAAATAAAAATACAAAATGCATGTTCAGAACAAATTTTTATCTGTAGATTTTTTTTACTCCAGACTTACAACTGCCTCCCCTGTACACAGCCTGTCATCTTGAAACAATCACCCCTAGGGATGCAACTAAGGGAGGTGGGAGGGAGGAGTCACCCCCCCTCCCCTTGAGGGTGTGTCATTTATAGGGGGGAAGTGGAGGCTTGCCTGATTTTTAGTATAATGACTTCATTCATCGCTTGTAAGATAAGGTATGAATGCAGAGGAAGTGTGTGCTCAGGATGGTGAGCTGACCCATGTTAGAAGGTGCCCTGCACCCTCCCTTTGTCCTTTGCTCACATGAAATGGCATCCCTGCATTGGGGGAAAAAATGGAAATAGGAACAAAAAGATGGCATTGCTTGTCAAGCTTACCCTTGTCACAGCTTGTCACTGCCCCCTTATCACCTTCCATATCCCCTCTTCAGAATTTCTGATTGTCCCCATGGTTACTTCGATTCACATATTAGAGGATTGGGGTCAAGTGTGGGGAGGGGGAAGGTATGTGGTCAGAGCTGTTGGCCAGCTGGTCTGCAATACTTTTGATGCACTTAGCCAGTCTGTGATGAGATTGAGGTTAATTGAAGGAGATTATGACAATTTTTGCGAATTTAATCATTGATATTTTGATTGCTTCGCCAAAAATGCAGTTTTTCCACACTAAATGCATTCATTCACGTTATCTCTTTCTTTATTACATTTTATAGATAGATGCACTAATTGAGCTTCCTTATAGGAATGCCTGAAAAAAGTTAACATTGGTGCCATTTAGCTTTGATTAAATGCATCCAATTAACCAAGTTTTTTTTTTCATGGGATTTGAAATAGAGTGATTTGTCTTTAAGCATCAGACCAAGAATAATCGTGATGGAAGATTTTTTCCACGAAACTTGTAGGAGTGGCTATGCCAAAAGCATAAACCTGAGGTCTGATATAATTCTTTTGCTTTTCAATCAATCCATTCTTTTGATCGCAAAGGACAGTGGAGGAATTCTGAAAGTGCGAGTACTGATAATGGTAGAAATTTAAGCAGTTAGTCAATCCATCGAGGCGCGTTGTATTTGCGCTTGAAAACTTGAATATTGTAAAAGCCATTCATTGCCCTATACAACTTTTTTATACACAACATGATTCCATTTCAATAGAAATGGAGTCAAATGCTGAGTCGGAATAGTTATCATATTTGGAGCCGAGGAACTTACCACGGATACGCGTTAGCCCGTCACCGAGTTTAACCTCTTCACAGGGCCGGGCATACTCCCGTCAATTGCCTTTCCCCCCACTTTGATTACCGCAATACGAAGGAAGTAAATGTAACACGCAGTCTCTGAATCAATCAAAGGCTGGTTGATAGGTTGGTGGAAACCGATCGAATCCGTTAGTGGTCATACAAACTTGAAAATGTTTTTAAGCGTATCTCCAGGCACCGATCTCCTCACTGCTTGGAATATCGTTTTGAGAGCCAATTATAGTTGTTATAGCCCATCATATACAGAGATGTACCATATGTGACCAATTACCATCGTCCGTACCCATCGAGGGCAACCATCCCTTGCTGACAACAAAACTCGAGTGGTTCGAATTCGCTAAAAGAGAGTGCGGATTTGGGCATTTCGCACGCAGTCCTCTCCCTTCCACACAATACTTTCTCGAAAAACGTTTTAGCGGATTCATTAGGTTTTGCACAACCCGTCAGAATCGGCGATTTTTCGTTGATCGAGTCAGAGGTTGCGTGTTAAAACTTTAAGATGTCGCGCAAATGAACGCAATAAGCGCCTCCCACACCCTGGAAGGAAAAAAAATATATATATAAAGATAAGTTAGGCGTCACGCATGCCAGATCGCCATCGTGAATGTAATATTTTCGCACAGGGGTTGATATTGCCTCGAGCCGGGCCCCGCACCTTCTCGAACCGGCTGGCAGGGCTCCCCCCACCCCCCGCCCTCAGATGATCGTTATCCTGGGCGGCAATGACTGCATAGTGCATTGAGCAGTTGGAAATGGTCATCTTTGTTAATCACAACCAATTTGCGATCGCCGAGGAATTCGATGAGGAATTTGAAAGAAGGGAGCACGACTGTAAGGGTTAAAGGGCTTTCCCCCCGAATTGTACCGAGTCGAGCCTCGTTAAAGCGAACGCACGTACTGCCTCGTTCGTTTACTCGAATTCGGGGAGAACTGCCGAGTCTCTTTGCGTTATGCGTATTTCGTGTTTGAAGTGCAGTCCAGATGAAAAATGTTTCACGCTTCCTTGTCGGAACTGAGCCGTACTGCGTTACTATTAGCACGGCCTTCGCTGAACGCGTACTGAAAGGACGATTCCCCCCGGAATTCGTATTTCAAAGTTTGCTAAGTCAGTTGTGCTTTCTCTAGCAACAGGAAATAGTTCCACACGTGAACGTGTGATGATTACTCTGAACGGCCCCTTTGAGGAGTCGTCGGGGGATCGAGGATGAGACCTCTCGAAACTCGACGGAAGTGTTTATTTCGGAATCGGGGTTGTTTGTTGCGTGAATCGTCGCCAAGGGGGGGACACTTGTGCGTTTCGCAGCTGCTGCCGCCTTTGTCCAGACTTGTCGTCTCGGCCGGTGATTTGTGCGATGTTTCAGCTGCACGTCGGGTTCGTACGTGTATGTGTTGGCACGGGGAGCCTTCCGCGGTATCTCCATATAAATGGGAGGGGATGAAGTGAAGACACACGGGGGACACGCTCCCTTCCTTCTGGACGTTATTACCTGACCCGAGCGGTGAATGAGGTCTCCTGCTTCTGGGATCACGGGTGTATGGCCCTGGATCGAGTTTCCTTCGTCGGGGACTGGGGTCTGCTCGTTTGCACTGAACGTATAAGTATCTGATTTGGAAGCGGTCTGAAACGCAACGTGTGTTCTTCGCCGATGATAAATCGATATTCGAAATGCAATCTAATGTGAAAGCATTCTGTTCGAGTTAGATTCGAGAAGATGCTTTAGGCGCGGTTCAGAGTTTAATCAAGGTTGCAGGTGCTTCTCTAAGAATTTAGGAAACCGGCGGGATAGCAAAGCGGGAGGTCGAAGGTGAGAGAGCGGAGGCGTGGAAGGGGATATCGGTTTCGGGTATAGCCTGTCGCAGTCGTTAACGTGGGAGGCCTGCCGCTTGTGGAGGCTGAGGGGCAATGTGGTAACCGAATCTCGACCCATGCCTCGCATGATCCGGGGCAGGTGTGCCTTCGTGTGCTCTTGCGAAGGGATGGGTCACGGGGTGGCTTCGACTCGAGCGTGCTGGCTCGTATGGGGGGGGGAACCTCTTTCTGGGTATCTCGTTGGGGATCTTTCGCTCTCGTTCTGCATGCTCATTCTCTCCTTGATCCGGTCGCAGGTGTTCGGTTTCGCGGCGACGTATCGCGTGAAAGCGGTCGTCATATGAAGTATTTTTCCTCCCCCTCTCTCTCTCTTTCTGCGTCTCGTAAATTCACCCTTTACAATCGAAATGACGTCCATCGCCGTCTTGCCATTAAGAGGGGATTGAGATGATAGGATGAGAGGCTGTAAGCACATGCCAGGCGAAAGGAGGGGGAATGAAGCTGAAGGTCATTCCTATAAAGCAAAAAGAAATTTTCTGTTGCTTTTGATGCTTCACTGCGGGGAGACAAGTAGACAAGAAGGAAGAATGCAAATGGTAGAATTTCGAATCGATAACGATCCGAAAGTTAATTAATTATGTTGCTCCCAGGGGAATCACCAGAGAAATGTAACATGTATAATGTCGGCTGAGCGTGACTGGTTCAGGTATGGACATACAGGGTGCGGCAGAAGGAGAAGAACCTTTCTTTCAAGTCATCGAAGGTCGGCCGACGACTGGTTTCCGGCAATGTTCCACCCTAAACAAAAAACTTTATCGCGTCTTTCGGCTTTTATCTCACCCCACTTGGATTACTCCCCGGCTTTGAAGTTCCACCAACACGATAGGCATAGAGGAATTTGCCCATTCCGAAGGACGGTCTTGTGCTGGATTCGAGCTGGGCCCGAGACGAATCGCGTATTCCGCCGGAAGTAAACCTCGAGGTAGAGAAGTGACAAATGTGACGAAAGTGACAGAAAGGTGTCGAATCACTTAGGCCGTCATCTCCCGCGAACGTCGCTCATCGTTTCAGTTCCTTCCGCTTTCCGGTTCCTGGTGACCGCGGTCAACGTGGCTTGAAACCTGAAAGTGAGGAACAGATTGGGTTCTGGTGGAGCTTACGTCACTGGTGAGAGAGCAGGAAAGCTTTTGAATCCTCCTCAGTCCCCCCCGTCAGAGAGAGAGAGAAGGGGAGAGAGCGCAGAGAGAGAGAGAGAGAGAGAGAGAGCTCTCGCTTTCCTCACACGGTGATGATCGCAATCCCGGCGGTCCGATCCCCAGCGCTCCCTCGTCGCCGCCGCCGCCGCACCGCTTTCCATCCAGCTCTGTGACTTTAAGAGAGGAGGGTTGGAGTCGCGGGGGACCCGGTCCGGATGGGAGTCGCAGTGCCTCCCCGGTTCGACGGTGGAGCGGTTCCCACATGGTGTGCGTCTCTCGTGACAAGGTGGTGTCGGAATCGCTGAGGTCTCCCAGACTGGCGCGAAGATGGTCGGAACGCTTCTCCTAGCCCTGTTCTGGTCGGCGGCCGTCGCGGAGACTCCCCAGCGGCTCTCGCCGGTGCAACAAACGAATCGAGTGGCCGAAAGTCGTGACTACTATCACTGGCGACAGGAGGTGAAGCGACAGCAGTACAATTACCGACACGAACAAAACCATCACGGTCGTCACGTGGGCGAACAGAGCCTACGAACTGATAACATTCGCTATCTCACGAGCAACGAGTTGCCCATCTCTGTGCATCGAGACCGATACCACGCTTGGGAGCGGTATCGCGACCGTAAGTACTAAGTCTAGGATTTCTCCTCGCCCCCGCCGCATCGCGGCGAAGATGAATGGATGCGGGAGCGTGCATTGTACGAGAAGAGAAAGAACGTCGCGGAAAAAAACGTGCGGTAGTCGTTGGAGAAGATGAATGCGGTCCGGCACTGCGGCTGTCACTTTTCTCTCCCCTTTCCATACGTCTCCGCCGTCTAATGGGAATTTCGTCATGTCGTGATTCGCATGACCCAGCCCATTCATTTTTCCGTCTAACCCCTGAGTCCCGTTCGGTAAGTTGCCTCATCGCGACCGGACCACACCGTACTCAGCCGGCGATCCCCGTGCTTGCTCGTTCGGTTCGACCGTGGGGCAAACTCCGCGTCCGTCGATGTAGTTGCATTTACACGAGACCCCCCTATATAGTTTCACCTTAGGACCTGTCACTGGCACGAGAGGGGAGGATATTAATACATCGTATGTGTTTATTTGCATAATTGAAACGCCTGCGCGGTTTCAGTCCCCTCTGCCACTTCCACGTTGACAGATGTAATGATCGAGTAAAGTAATTAGACCCGGGAATAAGCAAGTTTGGTTACGGCTGCAGTCTCCGTTCCGATGCCGCGCCTGGGAAACCTTGTAGCGTTCATGGCAGGTTGTTTTTTTTTTCTCTTTTTGTTTTTCCTTCCCCGATTAGATAATCAGTCTCAGGTGGAGTAACAGAGGAACAGTGGTACTAACTAGGCGGCAACGAGAAGATGGAGCGGCTGGGCTTTGACGGCCTGTTTATTTTCTCAGGAACTTTCTGTCAGAGCGCTCTGGTTCAGTTGCATTGAAAGGGAATGGCACATGAAGCGCCTGTCCTTCGATAGGATAAGCTCCTTTGAAGGCTCTCCTCTATGCACTCTTTTTCTTTGCCTCCTGTCAGGCGAGCTTCATTTGGCTGTTTATGTCTCTGGGATCTCCTTCAGACTGGGTCAAGGAGGGTGAACGTCTCGAGTCCAAAACACATCCAGCTTGACGGATGGGAATTTTTTTTTTTTTTTTTTTTTCCGGAGAGGTGGGTGTTGTCGCGGTCGCGGCGATGGACGATTGCGGGGCGTCCGTCGTTCGATGCATTAGGAGATTTGTGGCCGTTGTGCCGTGCGTGCCCGTTGTTCTCTCCGTCGACGGCTTAATGGGTTTTCGAAGCAGTGGGACCGGATGGTGAAAGGGAACGATCTCGATGGGACGAGACGCCCGGGGAACCCCGTGAGGTGCGTTCGTGATCGCGATGGATATCTCAATTCGTCGGCACCTTCGAAGCGTGCTGTTGTCATTAGGGGCGGGCCGCGAAATCGGGGGGAGTGGAATTATTACTGTTTCACAATGGGAACCCAAAGAAGCGATTGTGAGGTTGCACGTTTGGCGATCCTCTTAACACCAGATGGCGCTTTAACTTTCTTTCTGCACGTTTTTTTCTTCCCGAACGTGACGGATGGTAAGGTAGGTTTCAGCTGCTTCCAAAAATGCGAGCGGATAACGAATCAGCTGGACACAAGGTGGAAATGCCATGCGACTTGCGAATCGGGCTCTCAGGGCTTCTCCGATAAAGACGATTATCAAAAAGAGAGATGAGGATTGGGTGATGAAGCGATTTCTCAGGCCTCTTAATCTCGCGTGCCCACATCCTCGTGGCAGGTGTCGACAATCCTAAGTGCAGGGGGAGGGGGAGGGGGGAGAAAGGCAGAGGAGGAGGAGAGGTTTTGGACTTATGAACGGGAATTTCGCGCCGGAGATCACCCCGAAAGGGGTCAAGCCCCCCCCCTCGTCCCATTGCACATGCTTGCGACGTACCTCCTCGCTTTCCGTCTCGTGACTCATCTGATCAAAATTCCGACCGTGTGTTTCCGTTTATCTATCGTGCGTTCCCATTTGCGCGGTCGTAGCTCATTTTCGCCAGACCCGAGATCCGTCTTCGCTTTCCCGCATTCCGACACGGAACGGAGCGATTAGGGGCGAACCGGTGCAGCGCCGCGCTATTCGGCGACGAGGCAGGTCAGAGGTCGCGCGATGACTCATCGCTTCGCGAAGCGTCCCCGCTCCCTCGAGGCTCGTCATCGGGAGCTCTTGGGTGTACCGCGCGAAATCCTCCATCGCGGTCCTTGGGGCCTTGATCTCATTCGGCTCCTTTTTCTTCTGAGATGAGCGCATTGTTCGGTCCTCGCGTGCTACACCCGGTTTTGTTCCCCAGTCGTTCGTTCTTCCTTCCCTTTATTTCTCCCCTTCACCCATGGCTGGATCGTGGGTGGTGTGAGGCGTTCCGGTTGCCTCCGACTTTTATTGCGTGCACGGCTTTACGGTCGGAACGATGCGTGTGTCCCTGGGCCAGAAGCGTTTCAGGCTTCGGCAAGGGCCCGGTGGGATCGCCTCTTGTGCCGAGCTCGCTTCCACGATCCTCGTTTCGTTTTCGACGTTTTCATTGCTTCCGCTCGACGGCGAAGATGGGAGGCGTTGAGAGGGGTGGTGGCAGTTTTCACGCGTGGCACAAACAGCCTGTTTTTTTCTTCCTTTTCTTCCTTTTCTTCTTTGTCGTAATAAAGTTCCTCTTGTGTCGAAACACGTCTGAGTAATTCGCAAAGCTTTTGTCATGCTAATGAAGCCAGGGGCCGTCCGACGGTTCCACGTCCCATTTAGTCGCCTGATGGCGGAATTCGTGGGGGTCAACCCGACAATGCTTCGTTATCCCCTTTTATCTCCCGGTCATTCTATTCGGAATTCTTTTTATTTTTGCAGCTGCAGTGAAAAGTTGAATTAGACGCGCCATGCCTCCCGCGTCTCAGAGCGATAATCAATTGGTTGCGTGCCGTACGAAAGTGTACAAGATCCCCAGGGAGAATTCAGGCATCTGACTCTACTGTGACGCCCATTTTATTTATATTTTCCTTCCACTTCCATGGAAACCAATCACTGAGCTACCTCGATCTCTAAATTTTCCTTACTAGATGAAACTTAGCCATTTGGCATCGACTTACGAGACAGTCTCGTAGCTGTACTTTGGATATGAAATTTTCACGGTGTATTGATGTATGCTGTATACGTGTATTACATGATTGTAAGAATAGAATATAAAGTAAATAAACATCTCTCAAGTTAATTGCTAAAATGCGGTACGCGAGCAACTGAATAAAGACAACGCCAAAATCAACGTGGAACCAGTCATTCCGCGTTCCTTCTAAAATCCCTCGGAAGCTCCGATTTATTTTTGCCAGCTCTTCTCGTTGGGGGACTAGTGAGCACGACAGAACGGAATTCGGTCCAGATTACTCGCGTTCCTGTGGAGTGACCTCACGATGCAAGGGAAATGATTCATAATCGCATGAAGTACTCGAAGAGGAAGGAAACGGAAAATGTTCCCGACTGAATGTGTTTTTTTTCTCTCTCTCTCTTGCCTTCGCAGAGTGCCGGTGCAACGAATTGGGATCTCTGGGGAACCGGTGCGATCCAGTCACCGGTCAGTGTCCTTGCAAGCCGCATGTCGGAGGGACTTCATGTGACAAATGCAATGTGAGCCCCTCGACATACAAAGCTCTGGGTAGACCATGCGAATCTGATGATTAACAGATAAGACCTGCATTGTGTATTTGTATTTGTTCGTATTAACGTAACTCATTGTTGTTAGATGCTCATCGTCTGTTTGATTTCGAGCACGAGCTGATACATAAGCGTGTCATTTCCCTTGCAAACGGTACAACAAATGCGCGAAAAACTTTATTTTTATTTATATTTTAATATTTACAGGTATTTATTCTTTTTTTTTAATTACTGTTAAATGAGTAAAATAACCGATAGCCACCAGTTGGTATTCGTCAGTTATGATCATAGCGTTCCGCGCCTGCACTAAGGATGGATCGAATGATGACTAATATTTTTAGAGGGGGTATTGGAACTTGGGATCGCGGAACGGGTGCCAGAAGTGCGACTGCGACCCCCGGGGAACCGCAGGAGGCGCTTGCGACCCGGAAACCGGGCGCTGCATCTGCAACGAGGGGGTCGGGGGAGAGCGGTGCGACGAATGCCTCCCCGGATACTTCGGCTTCTCGCCGCGAGGATGTCGCAGTGAGTCCGTCGGTCGCGACCGCGCGCGGTGGGTCTAAGCGGCGGTGTCACTTGGTTTTGCTTTCTTCTCCGGTTTTCGTCAGAGTGCGAGCCTTGTGATGCGCCGGGGCATTTCTGCGACCCCGACACCGGGAGGTGCGTCTGCCCTCCGTTCACGGAGGGACCTCATTGTGAAAGATGCGAGCCGGGGGCTTACAATTACGACCCAGTCCGTGGCTGCGAGGTGAGTTATGACATTTTCAGCGGACGTTTCGGGTTGACTCATCCTCGTTTGTCACGATTCCCGGTCCTCTCGTCCCCGTCAGCCGTGTCGGTGCACTGGGGAAGGTGCGATAAAGCATCGATGCAATCCCCTGACGGGGCACTGCGAGTGCATCCGAGGCTTCGCCGGGCCCAACTGCGATCGCTGCGACGTGGGCTACTACAGCTACCCCGATTGCTCGCACTGCGACTGCAATCCACCCGGGACTCGGCCCGAGGCCTGCCTCGCGGACAACATATGCCAGTGCAACGAGAGAGGAGAGTGCCCTTGCAAAGTCAGGCCCAGCATTTCTTTTCTCTTTTTGTATTTCAATGTCAAGTACGAATGCCAACCCTATTCTTCCTTTTGAATAGAAAAATGTGGTCGGAAAGCAATGCTGTGACTGTCGAGAGGGCAGTTTTGGGATGGACAAGGACAATCCAGACGGCTGCTCCGAATGTCTCTGCTTCGGGAAGTCCAGCAGGTGCTCTCAAGCACCGTACACATGGTCTCAGGTACGAAACGCAGTAAATTGCTTTTATGAAACCCAGGAATTAATCAATCTGGAATGAGTCGGTCGGAGGGAATGTGTAATTCGAATCTTCCCAAGGTTGAGGACCCCTCCCTTCCGTTTCCTCTTTCAGGGATTCATTCCTCGTTTGAATGAACGAGAACGCTGGAACTTGGATTCCTCTTACCAGGGTTTGTTTCTGTATTGCTCTGCTGCATTTTCAGCAACGCGTTCCGGTGTGCAGATACCTTTTTCTCGAGTACAAGCGCTGGCACCGCCAGGAGGCCAGACAGGGGCACTTCATTCCACGGATTTCCCCGGAAGTCGATTTCATAAACGTAGGCCGAAAGTAGTTTTCCATGAGTCAACGTGTACTCTGTGGGCTGTCGCACTGCACCGTGTCTGATCCACTCGTCGCCGCCTCTCGTGCACTCGTCTTCGTGAGGAGAGGCCGTTTTCTTGAGCTTGGTCTCGATGCACATGCCTGCTTTTAGATTTTTTCAAAGACTAGACTCGTTTGCAGTAGTATCAGCATCTATAGGTTTTGTATGTGCTATCCCGAGATCTGTATGTTTGTAGGTAGCAGTACAATGTTGGTGTATGCGTCCTTTTGTTATGTTCATAGTCTCGAGTTTCCATCAACTGGAGAAGAGACTTGCCGTTGTTCAAGCTGAGAATAACAAGTGTTGCACCCTTGTGCCATTACAATAAACATTGATAGGGAAGTGTGAGTGGCGTAGCTCTTAGATATTCTTTTCCTTTGCTCGAAACTGACACAACCACTCTGAATTTTGCTGCAATGAGCACTATTCTGCTGTATTGTTGTCCCTCTTACTTAGTGTTGTGTGTGACGTTGTTTCACGAAGGATTTTTTAAATGCATTGCTTCATATTGCTTCTGCTTGCTTGCATTTGGCAAAAAATACTTGCTTTACACCTGATAATGTAGGTTTAAGATGCCAAAACCTCTCAGGATCTAATGCCACCATGAGGTTTGGAGTTTTTTTGTTGCTGTTTTTAAAATATATTTTTTTGTTTTATACCTGCAGAACAACCACCACTCTTTTGTTTCATATTATTCTTAGTTTGGTAATGGTTTTATGACCATCTTTGCAGTATGCATACCCAAGGATCCAAGAGGCAATCTTGAACCGTGGAGAGGACGTACAGTTAAATGCAACCAATGGACTCCGTGTCATCCCTAATGATGACGGTGACGTCCAGATGAAAGTTTCCCACATCTTCGATACCCCCATATACTGGCAGCTGCCAGCACCTTACCTCAGAGACAAAGCAAGTTTCAACTTGCATTTAATCATACAGTATGGGTAAATTATATGTGTTTGCTTGGGTGTTGAATCACAATATATTTTCCCCCCAAGGTGCTATCTTACAACGGTTACTTACGCTTCCGAGTGGAGAGTGAAGGTGGTCGATCACCATTCTCTAATCAAATATTGGCAACATATCCTTTGGTTCAATTGCAAGGCAACTGGAAAATCATTTTGGAGCATTTCCCTACGGAGTCAGAATATCGTAAAGATTTCTACGTTGTCAAGTGAGTGAAATGTTTCTGTCTAGTTCCTATTCATCCCTATTGATATTGGATATTTAAAAAAAAATCTATTGCAGACTAGAGCTGGAATGTAGCCAATGGAAGAGTTTGGGAGGGTTGGACTTCCCCTAAATTAGATGTAATGTAAGGGAGAATGTATGAATGAATAGAATGCAGTAAGGATGAGAGAGATCCCAGTGCTAGTGTGAATGTAACTATGACACAAATCAACACCACTTCTAGGACAGGGACATGTGGATGTAACAATTCTTGTTGCTTTCTAAGTTTCCCTGCAGAGAACCTTTCAGGGCGTAAAATACATTGTGCCAGATAACCATGGACCCTGCCTGTGAGAGTGGGATGAGGCCTCTGCGTAATCAGCCATGGCTTTGTAATGCTAATACAGGCTCTTTTTTGCATCTCTTGTGTAGACCTCACTATGGTGCAGTCTTGCTGAAAAACAACTTGATTGTAGTTGTAGAATGGGTTTTTTCAAACTATTAACAAATGCCCATTTATAAGCATATTATATTTAAAAAATATATAAATAAGACATATAAACATAGTTGCTCCTTTGCTCCTGTGTGTGTATGAAGGTTGCATGAATCGGCGTGGAGGAGTCGAAACAATCCTGGGGCACCTGTCACTCGGAAGATGATGATGGTAGCCCTGCAAAATTTGCAGCATATTCTCATTCGTGGCACCACTGCCGCTGATGTTTCCAGAGCCAGGTGGGATCCTTGAACCAGGGCTGAGCTTAGTTTTAGGATAGGACTGATCCATACCTGAAAACGATGGTGATTTTGCAGGCTGAGTGATGTGAACCTGGATGTCGCTGTTCCTGCATTGGATCCATCCTTGAAAGAAGCAGTGGGAGTTGAACTTTGTGAGTGCCCTCCTGAGTATAATGGTACTTCATGCCAAGATCCTGCCAGAGGTTACTACAGATGGAGAAAACCTAAATACTTGGAGAGTCAAGAGATTTTTGACCTTGTTGGGATATCTCGTAAGTGCGACTGCAATGGCCATGCATTTGAGTGTGATCCAGAGACTGGTGACTGCATTGTGAGTGACGTTTTGGCTCAATCAGTGAAATTCCCTTTTTGGTCTCCCTCCATTGACTTTCATTCCTGACTTATGGCTTGTTTCAGAACTGTGGAGGGAATACAGAAGGTTTACATTGTGATAAATGTAAACCTGGATACTATGGAGATCCAAGCAAAGGCCCTTGTAAGCCTTGTGCTTGCCCATCTTTAGAAAGGAACTTTGCTGACACATGTCGCTCCGACCCCTACGCTGGCTACGTTTGTAATTGCAGAACAGGATATGCTGGTGAAAAGTGTGACAGGTGACTGCAGTAACATTTCCTTCATGAAATGACCCATGAAATGGAATCCAGAAAGTTTAATAATTCTTATTCCATTCAGGTGCGATTATGGATTCTATGGGGATCCATTGGGACCTGATGGGAAATGTCATCCATGCAATTGCAATCCATATGGGAGTGTGAGTCAACAGTGTGATGTTCGTACTGGACAATGTTCCTGTAGGCAAGGAATTTCAGGTCGAGACTGCACTATCTGCAAGCCAAGGCATGTTATGACAGAAAAAGGTTGCACATGTAAGTGTTCTTTCCAAATGCATTGAATCTGATGCAGATCCAGTTTAAAAGGTTTACCAAATTGCAACTTTAAAGGGGGAGATCAGTTGTGAATTGAGAATTTTTATTTTCTGCATGAACATATCTATCCCCCTCATTCTCACCCTGACTTCCATGTCAGTAATTGGAGCATTCATTTTTTAAATTTATTTGGATGCATTATATTAATAATAATTAAATTAATAATGATATTCCCTCTATTAGAGCTGTCATGCTGCTTTCCTCAATTTGAGCATGATTGTCACTTTTCATGCCATATTCAGAACTTTATACCTGGTTTTTAATACCTGGTGAACCTTGTTTATGCTGACATGCAGAGAAATGGAGGACAGTTTAATAATTTGTAGTTTTTCCAATTGTGTAAGAGAAGGAGAGTTGCTCTTGCTTACAGTTTGTGAATGGTAGTTATTGTGCTTCTTGCAGCTTGTGACAATGATTGTGAAGGAGTATTGCTGAGGGATCTAGATCAGCTTGAAATTCGTCTGCAGCAAGCCAACATAACAGGGATCATTCCTGCCCCATGGCGCCGCCTCAATAATATCAATAATGAGACTATCTACCTTAGATACAGGTTTGTCTCTTGGCATTCTTAGGACTTCACCCTTTTGTCTTAATTGTGTAGTGAAGAGAGAGAGAGATCTTAGAGGTTTAGTTCTTGAATTCATTCAAATTCTTGTATATGTATATATATATATATATAGATTGAACCTCATGGGAGAACTGCAAGGATTGCTCACTGGACAAATTTTTCAGTCAGAGCTTTTCCCTACTGCTGATGGCCTTATGCAGAGGGTGAGTCTCATCTTTATGAACAATTTTTTTGTTTTCATGTTCTGTACAGATATAAAATTTCATCTTTGTAACATATAGGCTGTGACAACTCTGCAAGAGGCTAAAAATGCAATTCATGAAGGTGCTTCCACAGGAGAAGATGCTCGAGTAGCACTCCTAGAAGTCAGGCGACTACAACAGTACATACATTGTGAGATTTCACACTGCTGATCTTTTATGAATCATCTGCTTCATGGCAGTAGTCTGAAGCATCTTCTCATTCCTATAACAGCCATTGTGGAAGGATTGCAGAATTATGCCATTGGACAGACACAAGACTCATTCAGTCTGGAGAGAGCATTGGCAGAGGCTGAGGCCATTCTGAGAGAGCTGCAAGATCGTAACTTTGGCCCTTGGTTTTCTGAAGCTGGCCGAGAACTGAGGACTACTCAGGAATTCCTTACCTTCATCAAGGAACTTTTCTTTGATGTGGATGCTATCAGGAAGGCTCAAGATGCTCTAGATGACATTAGTGCTAGGCTGAGAGACCTCATGAATTACTTGGAAAAAGTCAAGAAAGAGCTCCTCTCCGCTGAAACCATGAACAGAGAACACCTAAAACTTTTGAAAAGCATCCAGCAGAGCCTTATTGACATGAATGGTCTCCAACTTCTTATCACTGAAGTGAATCAGAATTCAACTGTCATTCTAAGGCAGGCCACTAAACTTCTTGATGATGCAGAACTTCAGTACCAGGTAGCTTTTGGCTTGGTATCCATGTTAGTGTTGAAACATCCATATCCAGGATCATTCCATACAATTTCACTCCCTACTACAGGACCTTCAAGAGTTGTTTGAACAACTTTTGGATGCATATGGTCGGTGTGAAATTGAAGAAGCACTTTTGAGTCGTCTTCTCCCTGAGTATGCAGAAAAATATGTCAGAAGAGCCAAGGAACATGCTCAATTACTCTGGCAACAAGCACAACACTTGATGGAGTGAGCATGACTCTTTCATATTTTGAATTTCACCTCTGAGCTCATGGTATTATTTTTTTTTCATTCATCCACCATATTTTCTTCTAGTCAGTTCACTGCAACTCAAGTAGTTGCACAATATGCTGTCCAAGCTGCTGAAGCATACAAAAACATTGTAATGAGTCTAAAAGAGGCAAGAGAAGCTGCTGAAGATGCCAAAAGAACTGCCCAGCAAGCATATGACAAAGTAAGTGATTAGAATGGGATCTCATCTATCTGTTAGTCTGGAATTCTAACACTTGAATATTCATAGGCATATCCTGATAAACAAGAATCACCTGTGAGAGCTGCTGAAAGATCAAGAGGTGAATCTTCCTCCCTGCTGAGAAAAGCTCAAGACCTGATTGCAAGGCTGGAGGCACTTAGGAAAGCATTGCGAGAGGAAGATGGGAGAATAGATTCAGTTGAGAAGACTCTGACACAAATCAGAGTTCGGATCCAACAGATATACATTAAACTTCAATCTCTAGAGGGTAAGAGAGCTCTTGCAGTCTTTAAATAGATAGAACTGAGTTAAACAGGTATGACTCCAGATCATCCAGCCCATATTAGCTCTATGTCTCAGAATATATTATTGTATGGAGTTTGCAATTACCTCAAGTCAGAAATATATTTTTGTGGATCATCTCATTCTATAATTATTTCAGTTATTTATTTGTTGGTCTATTTCTCAGATCTCAAAGAGAGAGGTCAAAAGGCACTGAAACTTGGCAATGATGCTCACTTCCTTGCAACAAAAGTGCTGGATGAAGCCATGAACATCACCATTTGGATTGAGACTCACATTCGGGTCAAATTGGAGTCATTACAGTCAACCCAACTTGCAAATCTCATCAGTATTTCAAAGACAAGTATGTCATCTTCCCCCTCTCTGCTGCCGTTTTTTTTATGTATTATGTTTGAAGCATGTTGGATTGATCCTTGCAGTTGAGAATATTGAGATGAAGAGAGAAGAAGGCACTCGGAAGTCAAAGCCCCTTTCTCAGCTTAAGAAGAAAATCATGAAACAGAGCGAGAAAGTCTCTGATCTCATCAAAAAACTTAAGCAGAAGATTAAAAAAGCAAGACAAGTTGCAACTGAGGTAGGTGAAATTCAAGCATTGTTATTTTTGATGCAGTCACCATTGTTGATATTACCAGGCCAATGCTATGGCAGAACTTCACTTCTTCATCCTTAATCAAAGTGCTAGAGATGTTCATGAAGTGGAATTTCTTGCAAACTCTATTTGAGAAACAGTACAGCCAGTCATGCAATCAGGATTCTTGTCTCCCATCCTCGTTGGTGGTTTTGGACAGGAAGGGGGATCTGTACCTCCCCCTCAAAACATGAAACTGAATTCTTGTTCAACTATCCTCTGTCATTATTCTGTATAGATCCCTGTGTCCATTGAGCATTCAAGGAGGAGTAGCACCTGCCAGAGGATGTTCCTCATACCATCGTTGAAGAACTCCACTTCCACCTCCATTGAGATCTCGTTTGCTGCACATAAAATGGAGGACAGCCTACTTTTGTACATTCCAGGATTAAGTGTAAGTTTATTCTATAGCATATCTAAGCTTCTCTTCATTTGAACTCAGCAAAATATGAGAGTTTGGTTCCAACTTAGAGGTGCTTGAGTCCTTGAATTTCTGTTTTGCCTTCAGAATGAAGAATTTATGGCACTTGAGATGGTGGATTGGCAAATCCATTTCCACTGGAACCTTGGAGGTGAGACAGGAACTATCAGGCATCCAACAAATATCACTGCTAATCCTGACTACAGAATTGGTGAAAAGGGATGGTATCACATCTTAGCAGAAAGGTATGAAAGAGTTCAACTTGCATTTCTCTTCCTCCTATTATGGAAAATACTGAACTTTTTTCTTCTTGATTGGTATGAGCAGGATTGGTAACATAGGGAAGCTGACTGTTGAGTCATCGAAAGATACTAGAAGGAGGAGTGGTATTCTGGAAGGAAGGTCAGGGGGAGAAGGATATACAGTATTCAATGTTCCATTGAATCCAGTCATATATGTTGGAGGTAAACCAGGGACACCAAACTCAGCAATTCGCTCCAATAAGTTCTTTGGATGCCTCCATTCTCTCATCATCAACAATGAAAAGATTGGCCTCTGGAATTTTTTTACATCTAAGGAGACAATTGAGGACAATAGCCACCCATATCAATGTAATGCTTGTCTGGAAGGGTAAGTATTGTCATTGTCATATTTGCTAGGTTTGAAAGAGCAATTCTTGTTTCATCTTCATGTTCTTTCCTTATCAAGGCCTACTGGTGTAGCAGCTAGCAGCTACCACTTCAATGGCGAAGCCTACTCTGAACTCAGCCCTGTCAGAATTCAAAAACCTTACTTTGGAGTAGTCTTGGATTTCCGTACTTTTGAAGCGGCAGCCCTCCTTTTTCTAAGTGTCAATGATGCAGCTGTCAGTCAAAATATTTTTATTCTTTAGTTGTGGAACAAGTACTTTCTCATTTATAATATTGCTGCTTTCCTCACTTCATACAGGATGAATCTGTAATGCTGGGACTCCAAGAAGGTAAAGTGGTATTCCAAGTGACCCGCAACCACACAGTCTTGAAGATCACCTCACAGTATCATTATAATAATGGTGAATGGGTCAAGGTGGAGGCATTAAGTGATGGAGAAAGAGGTAAGAATTTAATGGCGAAACATCAAGCACCCTGCTAGCAGGATCAAAGCATTCCATTTGCATTGGACATGAATCTAGAATCTAAAATGACTTCATAATTATGCACATTTGCTGCTTTGAACTCACTGGTGAACTTGGTGTGAATATATATCGTATTTACTCGAGTATAGTGCGCCACCGTGTATAAGGCGCACCCCCCTATTTCGTAGCGAAAAGTGTCTGACAAGGGAGATAAGGGGTAAAGCCGGTCGTGAGGTCGGTCGATTCTCATTTCTTATTCACTGTCCTGACCTTTATGGAGGGGGGTCAGTCATCCCTCAGTATCCCTAACGTTCGTTTTATTAATCCTTGAAAATGGATGGAAATGTACGGCGAAGTTACACAGCTGCAGAGAAATCAATGTGATTCAGGAAGCGAAGGAGTTGGGCATCCGTATAATAGGTCGTAAGTATGACATTGAGGAAAGCTGTATACGGAAACGGATGGAGGTGAAGGCCGAAATTGAGCCGGGCTCTGAAGAATCTCATGGCCTTTCGAGGGAAAAAGGGATCATTTCCGGTGATCAAGAAGGAAGTGGCCGAATACGTGAAAGAGTGAGTCCGTACTTCTGTAGTAAAATCCTCGATGAAGCATACCGCCAAAACATTTCGCTTCGTTCTGGCGCTGTTTGCCGGTTTTTGGCCTCGAAAGGATGGTCTATGTGTAAAACTAGAGTGATCTAGACGCGAACCCGTACGATGGCAAGAGCAAACGGGATCTCCCATCGAAAATTCAATGCATCATGAGGAGGCGATTCATGATGCGAGTTGAATTTTCTCTTCGTCGGAAAACCTCAACGGCTCAAAATTTTTCATTATTCAATTCATCTTCAATTTCATCCTCGGAGGAGGAGGAGGAGGAGGAGGATGAAAGCTCCGCGAATTAATTTACCACGCTGCCAGACACCTCAGATTCCAATTCCGAAACCGAACGAAGTCCGCGAATCGACGCAGCCACTCCCTGTTTACTGTTTTATTATAATAATATTATATTTCCTCTGTTCTGAATAACTCCAGACACTGTTTCCGCCTCAAGTGACCAATATATACGCTTTAAAAAAAATTTATTAAAAAAGATCATTTTTTCCCTCGAGTATAAGACGCACCCCCTCATCAAACACAAAATAAGTATTTAAAATATACGCCTTATACACGAGTAAATACGGCACATCCAAGAAGCTTGTTTTATAGGAATGAGCCAAACCCATGTATGTATGTTTGCTGTAGTTCATAACAGGTTCCTGAGAACATAGAATTCGTTTTTGGCACTATAGGCTCCAGGCTTCTGAGGGCATGGAGCCCCTTTTCTTTTTTATTGAAAAAAAAGGTAAATATGTTCCTGTAGAAACAAGTAGAGACCTACCAGTAGGACTTCAGTGGCAGCTCATCTCTTGAATGATCTTGAAATTAACGTTCTTGTTCAATTGTCATCCTAATTTGGTCCTGCCACCAGGATTCTGCTGTAATCATTCTGTCATTGAAATGAATTGTTCAGGTTTTGTTTCAGTTCTTGCTCAAAAGTAATTACAGCAGCAAACTTTTATGCTTATAGGGAAATTGAAAGTTGGAATGGAAGACCTCACAAGGCATAGTAGCCCTTCAAGTAGCAGGCCCCTTGATTTTGAGAATCACATGTTGTACCTGGGAGGAGTGCCTCCTGACTTCCAGTTTCAAGAACTCTACCAGACTCTCATGCTGAAAGGTCTTCGTGGTTGTCTGAAAGACATATCTGTGGCTGATCTGAAGCAGAATCCTCTGCAAGGGAATTACTATGGTATCAAGAGGAAATGCGAGCACCCAGTATGTACCATTTCTCATGGTTCCTTACTTCTCATTCTTTTAGCTTTTCCCTATGGATGGAAGTCACTCTGTTTACAAAATCATATCATCGTATCTTCTGCTGATAGAATTTATCTTATCTCTGTAGGAAAGAAATCCACACAAGAAGTATTGAATACTTGGTGGGGATTATTATTTTTGGTGGGGGTCATTATTTCTCATTTTGGGGAGTATCAGTACACTGGGTCTGACAAAAAAAAAGACCAATTACTTTTAACCTAAACATCTCTGTTCCCATTGGAGCTATTTTCATGAAACTTTCACAAAGCATATATGCTTCCAACTGATGAATAATTTTATCCAAATTTGTGGGGCCAAGACGACACTATCAATAATTATTAAAAAGAAGCTAGATATTGGGGATGAACAAAAGCTCCTGCTGGTAGTGGGGTGAAGGAAACACTTGAGTGCTGTCCTTCCTGGTCAGGAAGACCATCTTGAACTCATCTTCGATTTAAATTCATTCTTTGGGCTGATCACGCCCAATGAATAAGCAAATGAATCTTTGAGCACCAATTCAGATAATTTTCTCCAAGTTCTTCAGAATTTCCATTGGTTGTTGGAAGAGATTGTTTGAGATGTGGACTAAAACCGAGGACTGCCTCAAACATTCTCCTCCATTAATCAGGAAAATTCTGAATCAAGTTTGAGAAAACTCTGGATTGGTAGTCATTGATTCGTCTGCTATTCATTTGGAATAAGCTCATGAAAATCATCTGCAAGAGATGACCAGCCAAAGAATAAATTTAAAAAATGGAAGAAGAGTTTGACATGGTCTTGATGACCAGGAAGGACAGTGCTCAAATGTTTCCTCCACCCCACCTCCAGCAGGAGCTTTTGTTCATTCTCAATTCCTAACTTCTTTTCAATATTTGCTGATGGTATAGCTTTGGTCTCACAAATTTGGATGAACTTTTAGGAATCAGTTGGAAACATACATATGCATAGTGAAAGTTTTGTGGGAATAGCTCCAGGAAGAGCAGAGATATTTAGGTTAAAAATCGTTGGTCTTTTTTTCATACTCTGAATGTTTCAGCAGCAATAAGATGTTCCTGTTTGATGATTTAGGTTGAAAAAGAAGTGAAGATGGATGGAAGGGGCCATTTCAACATGATAGTGGAACCTCTCAAGAGTGAAGGAAGCTTTGGATTTATCTTCCAAACTGGGGCTCCTCAGAGTCTTCTTCTCTTCTCAGTTGAGGATGCACCAAAGGTGAGCTATGTACTGTGAAAATACTCCATGAGAATTGTAAATAATAGTTGCATTGGTGTTTGCTTTAGAAAATTGAAAGTTTGTGAAGTTTAGGAACAAGACAGAGCTCAGTTATGAGCTTTCAGCTCTTTGAATCTTCACAAGGACTAAAAGAGCTGAATGAGAACAAACCAGAAGCACTGATGCTAAGTTAATGATGTTAATGTTTTTGGTGGTGTCTAAAGAAAAGATGGTACAAAAGAACTGGATTCTAGTTTTTTCTTTATACAGTCTAGTCCCAAAACATTTATTAGCTGTGGGAGAAATCTTCCTCTTATTTCAAATTCCAAGTAAACAGGAATGCTGAGGAATACCTGTCCCCCAGGTTTCTATTTTCCCTCCAGTGACATTCCCTTGTGGGTGCCCTATTTGTTTCAACTTCCTTGTTTCTACTCAGCTTTGCATCTCAAAGCCCTAGACAATATTTATGTTTACACATCATTTACATCATTGTCTATTACCTCTATCCATCTGAATTCTGTATCAGTGAAGCTAGGAGAAGGTTTGGTGACAGATTTGTAAATATCTTCAGGGAATTTGAAATCAGAAAGGAAGGGAATCAGAAAGGAGATTTGAAGCAGGAACTGAATCCCATCTACATCCAATGCAATCACCCCAATCACACCTTCTGAAGCATGCAACTGCAAGTGTTATACCACACACCCTCCCCCAGGGTTGTGATCATTGCCACAAAAAAGTAATTCATTGTTGTTGCCCCTTCCTTTCCAAGAAAATGTAATTTAGTTACCATTATTATTTACTTCTTTCAATAGTAACTGTTTGTCATTTTATACCATTACTCATTACTTTGAACCTTGAAACTTCAAAAACTCATCCAGCAGATCAAGGGAAAACAAACTTGGAGCTGCCATCTCCAATGACCACCTCCAGCTAAGGTGCAGTGATGATGAAGGAGAGATATCCTTTCATAAAACTGTAGTTGAGGGGGAGGGGGCTAGGAACACAAGCAGGGATATATTGTGATTTTAGGCACCCATAAGCAAAATGTATGCCCATTCATATGCTCCACTTTCATTTGTTTCTCAACACGTTTCTCTCAACGTTTCTATTGTGCCATTTGAGAGGTAAGGAGCTGGATGAAGGGCTGGAACTCAATGATTGCATTAGGTTTATGGAAAAATCATGTGGTTGACATGCATCCAGTGGTGGATACAGACATTTTTCATAGGGGGGGGGTGGTTCCCCACCTCCCCTCTGCCTTCCACCACTCCCCTCCCTTTCACCTTTTTCATTTTTTGTCTTTGGTAAAAACTTGAATATCTATTTCACTGGCCCCAATAAAAATTAATGTAGAAACTATAAAAAAGAAAAATATATAGAATGCCAACCTGGCCCTCCCTGGATCTGCCACTGCATGCATCATCTGTTATTGAGCACTAACTGCAAATGATTATTACAGCTTTGTTGTAATAGCAGCACTGTCCATTATTTAATGGAATCTGGAACATTTTATTGTCTTGTGCCACATCTAGGTAAATGAAATGGGTGAAAAATCTCATTACTGAGTTTGATAACATCTTTACTGTGAGACATGACTTGTAATGCTTTACTGCACAATCCAATCTTCCCCAAAAGCCAGATACTCATACAGGAATTGTCTCAAATTAAGATTCTTTCATCCATGCCTTGTTTAGATCTTGGTTCATTTTCTCCATCTACTTGCTCCTTCTATGTCATTTAATACTCCTCTTTCAATCCTTGACAAAAGCTCGATGAGCCAGAAAATTAAATCTTCTCTGTGTCTCTCATCTCCAATGCTAATGTTCTTAGTCTTGATGGCTGTATTTTATCTGTGGCCACTAGTGACAATAAAATACTGTACGTTGTATGGGTCCTTTTAACACCTGGCAGAACTACTGGTGTATTTTGCTATGGTCAGCATGATTGGAAAAATACAAACTTTTTTTAAGTTATGGATATGCTCTTGATTGTAAAAAGAGAGAATGAATCTGGATGAAATTGGGAAATTTTTAACTTGAAAAAGGTCCTTATATCCTAAATCATAATAAAGAGAATCTAGTCATGAGAAAAGGGGACTCTAAAGTAAATTTTCCTTAATTTTGGATGCCAGAAATTAGGAAGGGACCAGTATGGGAAGCTCTTGATCTTGATTCATCCTGGTTTTTTTGCTTCATTATATGTCTGATGACATGAGACCACCCTGATTGGAATTACTTCATATCTATCTCACTTACAGAGAGGCAGACAGTCAAGAGGCTACCAATCCGTCTCCTTAGTTGATGGAAAATTGAAGGTCAAAATGGAATCAGGTGGAAGTGTTGCTCAGGTCTCTTCTGGACAGATGTGCAATGACAACATGACTCATTCAGTTTATGTCAAGAGGAGGAGTAAAGAGTGAGTCATTAGTTTTATTTTTTTCCATGGTGATATTTGCATAGCACATGTTGAGAATCTGCACTCTTTTTAATCAGGGTTAATGTGTACCTGGATGAAAAGCTCATAGGCAGAGACACTCTTGGCAATGGAAATGGGATGTCCTCTTCCACTCTATATGTGGGGGGTGCCCCTCACAATGTTGCTGTTGGCAGGGTTGATGCAGGCAACAACTTTGTAGGTTGCATCAGAGATATCCTCTTCAACCACCAGTGAGCTATTGATTTGGATTTCCCTCTCAGATTGTTTCTGGCATTTGATCATAACATTTATGGTGGTCCCTCTGTGAATCTCATAGGTTGGTGAACTTGGCCAATGCTTCCTCCTCAGGGGATGTGAAGTTTGGTCGCTGTGAACAAGAGAGCTTCACAGATATTCCTTGGGTTGCTCTAGGGGATTCCTATGTCAGCCAGCCAGAGGCCTTGCAGGCATGTGCTCCCTCGTTGCGATACACAGTTGATGAAAAAGCCGTCAGTATTGGAGACACACCAGACAGCCAGATCAAGTTATCACTTCATAAAAAGGACCTACGGAATGACTTCACCATCTCCATCTCTTTCCGAACCTATCAACCTGATGGCATGATTTTATTTGCACATGTGAGTCTTGCTGATAGTTAATTTATGACTATTATATGCTACAGTCATAGGTAATTTAATATTAATGACCTTTCCAGAAAACACGGAAGGAGAAGTCAAATGCCTTTGCTATCTATATTGAAGACAAGAAGTTAAAGGCAATAATCCATCACAAGAAGCTCTTTGAAGTCAGCTTGCCAGAGAATGTCAATGATGGACATTGGAAGGAGGTGAGCTATTGACATTCAAGTAATCCAATTATCCAGGATCATTTTAAGTACAGCCATGTCTAGAACAAGGTTTACTTTGGTACCTGACAACTGGGTTATGCCAGATAATGCACTTCAATTTTTTAATAACTTCTATGAACACTTATTGGTTATTTGTGATATGGTGGTTCTTTGTCAAACTCTTCACAAAATATCTAGCACTTTCTCAATCACTGACTAATCCATAGTCCATGTGGCATGATTTACTCTTCCTTCCACCTTGAATACTATTTTTGAGTTCACACATCAGATTTATATGAAAATGTAGTAAAGCAGTTCAGTGTAGAAATTAAGGAGTCTAGCATTTTTCTAACACTCATGCTGATGTTAAATGAAATCAAAGGTGGGATGATGTTTGTGATTCATGCTGTATCCATGGCCTTGGTTTTTCAAAATGTTACAATATTCAATGGTCATGGAATGGCAAATGCATTTTCACTGGGGCAGTATTAATTGAATGGCTAAGTGTCAATTATGATTCTTTTCTTATCCCATCTTCCTGGAGCAGGTAGTTGTTTCCAAGGTTGGGTCCCAAATGACATTGAAACTGGGAAACATATCCAAATCCATCAAAGCTCCAAAGAAGATCAATTTGAGGCCAGTGCTTTATGTTGGAAGACTTCCATCTGATGTAAAACATATTGAAAAGCGGGTGGTATGTTGTTTCAGCAAACAAATAGATATGAGAAGATCTTTGATCGTGTACTGATGAGAAATTATATTGTGTCTTATGTAGAGTCAAGAACCCTTCCGTGGTTGTCTCAGAATGCTATTGGTCAAGGGCAGAACTGTGGATCTAGCAGGCTCTCAGAATTCCAAGACCAGAGTTTGTTTCTCTCATATTGAGAGAGGGGCCTATTTTCCTGGAGACTCTTATGCAGTTGCTGGTGAGCTGAGATTCCATGAGTTCTATAAATATAATTTTCTGGAGTTATGCTGAATGCCCATGACTTATCTCTATATACTACACCCACAGGTGAGAAATCGATGAAAGACAACATTGATCTGAAGTTTGAGTTCAGGACTTCAGAGTTGAACTCTGATTTAGTGACACTGGCTGTTAATGATGGGAGAGAAGGATTTGCTCTGTACTTGTTCAATGGCTCTGTGAGTTCCTAGGTTGCATGAAACTTTCTTGAAATCTTCTGATGGCAGCATCTAACAGGTTACACCCACTCACTGCTCATCTTTCAGATGTACCTATTGGTGAAGTTGCCTAATGGAGAAAAATTTCATGTGAGACAAGTTCTCAGGACACCATGGGACATATGTAATAATCGGTGGCATCAAGTAGAGGCAAGAATTCAACCATTAGCAGTGAGACCCTCCATTTGGCTGAAAGTTGATGATCTAGAACCTGCAAGTGCTGATTCAGCCCATTCTACCACTATGCGTCAAGTACCACCTGCACCCATCTACATTGGAGGAGTTTCAGGTGAGATTTTCCTTCTTCCCAGTGTTATTCAGTATGTTTCTATGTCTGTATGCATTGATCATTTGGTATATTTTACAGACAATGCTCCTGGTGTGGGAGAAGCACAAGGCAATTTCAAAGGTTGTATGCGGAACATTTTCATCAATGGTGAGAGCAAGCTGTGGCTAGGGATGACAAAACTGCATAATATTCTATTGGACTCCTGTCCAATACAGACATAGAAAAATTCCCAAGAGATACGCTTACGTCTCATGTGCAATGAAGTGCCCTTCGGAGTTATACTGGTTCAGGTTGCAGAGATGATGTATGCACTGGAGTGGGATTGAAGAGTATTTTCTGCATGTTCACTTCCCCATGGAGAAGTTTCATAAAGATGAAAGACTCATCAGAGGGTGACCTGGGACCACTACAGTGATGGATTGGGACATCTCCATCCAAGCATGATGATTGGTCAGATTTCCCCATTTGTGTGTGCACTTGCATCAGGAAGTGTCTGCTGACTGCTGCATGCCTTAATCTCCACTACTCATGTGATAGAACAGCAAAGCCTCTGAGTCACAAGAGGTTATCACACTGCCTGAAGACTCGATGTTTTATGCCAGAATGTTGTCGTGATTTCTCAATTGTCAGCAATCGTTTAATGTTATCCTACTCAACAAAGTGACTCGATGTCCACTGCATTTGGAAATGATCCACACTCTGGTATCATGATGTCCTTGATTGTGGCAGCTATGTATTCCCTCATGTGATTAACAATGTGCCTTTTACTGCATATTTTATTCCTTCATTTTTGTACATATTGGGTCACATGAAGTTGATTATAGTAGGTATGGTCTTGCCTGTCTAGCATCATGAACCTGAGAAGTAATCCATAGCTGTTTACTGGTCGATTCTTCATAGGCAGTTGTTACAGTATGAGAAATGAGAAAATGTTTCCATCCATGAGATCCTCATCTATAATCCAAATGCATTCTCTTTCACAAAATATCCAGTTTACTTGTCAAGTTTTCCCTTTCAAATGATTTTTATTCACTTGTCTTCATAAATGTTCTGTGGCATTGAGATGAAAATGAAGTCTGGTGGATGCCGCTTTAATACAAAGCAGGCAGCTTCACATATGCGCCCATGTTGGTTCCTGCAGCATCCAAACCAAGCTTGTGTTGCTCATACCAGCATGTCCAGATGTGTGCAGGGAATTGTGTCACTTTTCGCTGCCCAAGTCGACAATGCCCTTTCGAAAGCGTCAAGATTCAAGACAGTTATAGACATCAAGTCTGAAATGTCATCTTCAGTATGCATATCACTTCCACGCTTCAGGAAAATCACAACACGATATTCCGTATTAGAGGGATATAATATTCCCTTCCAAAAAAAAAAACTGAGTGCTTCTCCAAACTTCTGGAATATATATAACGTTTCTTATCCTTCTCGTTGCTCAAAATTCTGTGATGCGATCTTGGAAAATTCTATATCGTGGAAAATTTCTGTCTCTTGGTTCAGTATGGAATAAATTAGGATTCTTGCAGAAAATTCGACAGGGCGATGAAGTAAAGATGGAAGGGACCGTCCCGCGCGCTGCAAATCCACCTCTTGGTTTTTTTTTTGAGTAATATGGTATTATATTCATGTCATGTTTGTTCCCTGGACACTTTAAGATATAAAATTTACTCGATGGGTCAGTCCTGTGAATTCAAGTTCTGTGTTATTCTGATTTCACGTCAAATTTTCAGTTTCTCCAATGCCATTAGAGCAAGAAACCGCAATATATAGTATTTATAATGATCTGCCGCATCTCCCATGCGGCAGATTTTGTCACCTGACAAATAAATGGGTACGTACCTGAAGGAAAATGTTGAAATGAAACGGAGTATATAAGACAATAGGCGATAGACGTCGCACGAAAGGAGGAGCCGCCAAAGTACTGCAACAACACCATTAAGAGCCTTTTTTAAATATTAATCTATGTCAATGTTGCCGTACAGAATACGCAAAAGACACGAATCCTCGAGACGTCCTTGACTTGTCTTAACTTCATTTTCTTCATTTGCTTCGCGTCTGCTTGTCTCAGATCGCCGCTTCAAAGATTTCATTTCAGACTATAGTGTGCCATTTCAATCGCTGTCCGCCACGGGAGATTCGACCAAAGTCGTGAAGTAGCATCACAGCAGACTATTCTGAATGACAAACGGTTTGAGACACCCTCTTGTACGATATACGAGGATCCATAAAAAAAAATTCTAGGACTCAACTGATTCTAAATGCGCAGGCCTTTTGGCTGCTAGTATAGTAAGAACAAGACCTTGGAAAGCGAGCTTCGCAGTCTCGGCGAGAAATGGCGTCATCTTAGCGATTCTGATGCTTTCAAAGCATGCGCCGTGTTGGACCCTTGTCATTCGCTACGATATCACAATTAGAGCAACGTGCGGTTATGAAATGCTACGCAAAGGTTGGCAAATCTGCCACAGAAGCCTGACAGTTGTTAACAGCCTACGGAGAAGATGCTCTGAGCAAATCTCGTGTGTGCGATTGGTAAAAACGATTCCGCGAAGACCGAGAATCGATTGAAGATGAGCGGAGTGGCCGGCCATCCGCGAGCCGCAATGAAGCCGCTCTCGGCGCTCTTGGCGAACTCGTCCGAAGCGACCGTCGTCGATCCATCGCTACCATGGCTGCAAGGTTGTGAAGCTCGTCTGGATCCTGTCGAGCGATGCTAACCGAAGATTTGAACATGCATCGCGTAGCTGCACGGTTTGTTCCGAAAACTCTGGCCGACGGTCGAAAGCAGCATCGCCTTGACACTTGCAGAGACCAGGAAGCAACTGCCGATATGGGATCCAACATTCTTGCCGCGAATCGTCACAGGGGATGAGACGTGGGTGTACGTGTCCGACCCCGAGTCGAAGGCTCAGGGTTCCGTGTGGAAAACACCCTCGTCGCCATGCCCTAAGAAATGCCGAGCCGACACGTCCCGTTGGAAGTCGATGCTTATTGTTTTTTTCGATGCTCGGAGCATCGTCCAACATGAATTTGTGCCTCGGGGATAAACTGTCGATGCTGCCTTCTACAGAGATGTTCTCTCTCGCGGCTCATCACTGCTGTCGGACGCAAACGTCCAGAACTCTTCGAACAGCACACGTGGATCCTCCAGCACATGGATAATTTCCCGATTAGCTCCTGTTCGCAGTACATATTCGAGCAAATATCACGCTTGTAAGTACGTGCAGTCGCAATTTCCGAAAGTCAAATGCATGGCCTTGGAGATCAACAGGACCTCTCCAGAAAGCATCTCGCTTTTCGCAAAAATCGACCATGTTAATTACTTTTTGTTAATTAAAAATTGCCGTATCCCAAGCCTTTACTGCGTTGCGAGAGACACCCAGACCAACGAGAATAGCACCTACGAGCTGCCTTTTGTCTCGATGAACTGATTCGGTTGAACGACCCCCGGCTAGGGCGGCAAGTCTCGTTCAAATCACAGTTCAACGGAAAAGTGAAGCGGAATCCATCCGGAAGAGTACCCTTCCCCGATTGCTCCAGCTTATGCTTCTCGCTCCGTGCTCTGAGTGCAATCACGGTATTCACCCCACATTCACGAATAAGTGCCAGGAATGACGGTAAGCCCTGGGTGAGCACCCACTCACCGTTCGTGCGTGGGCGCTCGCCTCGGACGAGCTGGTAACCGAGGAATGCATCGGTTGAGGCTGAGAGGTGACATTCCGTTCACCGAGTTTTCAGCATCTCTGATGTCTTCCTGTCGGGAAGTGATTCGAACGAACCTTTCAAATTAACAAAATACGGACGTATGGACTGTGAACACATACGGAAATATGGGCAAATATTCCAAGTATTCTTGCATAGGTGGATCTGCTGCAAATACCTACAGCCACCTTATGCCAAAACGCCAATCGATACTATGAGAGCGTGGCCCCAGGCAAAAATGTTGTAGAGAGACCTATAGACTTCTAAAGAATTTTCCATGTAGTTTTATAGAATCAATAAACCACTCATTGCCTCCGGATAGGACTCTATACAGATTTGTATAGTAAGATATAGGGGCTAGAAACCGCGCAAGCGGGAAGGATACCATCACGTGGGTAAACAGCGGCGGCGAGTGGACGAAAATCCGGGGTGGCCAGCACGCCATCACGACGAACAAGAGATCATTGTTGTAACAATGGGAGCATGAGGCACGAAAGGTGTGTTTAGGTCGGTCTTTTCGTCTGCACTGCTTCAAGTGGCAGGTAGTTGCAATAAAAGGCTGAACGTTTTGTGTTGGCAGTTTATATTGAATCGAAAACATGTAAAAGGAGAGTGGAAATTGAAGATCTTTGGAACACTTGAAGAGTAGAGGTGCATCCGGTCCGAGTAGAAAATTATCGGTCCTATGACTTACACCCCTTGCGAGTTTCGGGACTACTAAAAAAAAAACGCATCTAGCTCATCTATAATGATCACGAAGACTATATCTTCCGCCGTTTTAATTCGTGGAAAGTACACAGTTACTACATAGATATTGGTCATGCGGATTAGGATGACCAATGAAGCTGTCTAATTTCGGCAAAGGAACCTAGACAAGACGGTGTACTTGTTAGCAGTCACCCGTTCGTGCGCGATGCAACCGGTGAGGCCGGCCTCCCTGTTATCGTACGCATACTTCTGTGTTGCGTGCACCATGGGATGTCCCTTATCCATCGCCTACGAGTCAGGCTCGAGGATCTGGCCTCCCAGATGGGAGGCCAGATAGAGACGCCTCGGTTCGTCCAGTTTCTCGTACTCCGAAGTTCATTTTTATTTTACAGCCTCGTCCCAGTCGGCGCAGCTCTTTAAAATTGCACCACTCAGGATGGAAGGACTCTCCGATGCACGATCCCCGTGAGGATTTCCAGCAGTTCACAACTATGACCTGTGCCATATCCTTCCATCATCATATGCCAATGCTTTCACAGAGTTCATCATAAATTAATCGGATGTGAGCCTTAAAAAAAAGGCTCTTCACGTTCTATGAAATTATGGATGACCTCAGTACGAGCTGAAGTCGAAGAAAAAAAGGCTACCTTTAATTCTTTATCCTTTCCTTTGGGGACCCTATTTGCATCTACTTATTTTCAAAGAAATTTGATGGGATTTAAATTGATTTCTATACGCTGACTACAGAAATTCACGAAATTCAATACAAATTCTGTACACTTTCTATACTGGTGGACAAAATTAAGGCAACACCGTTTTTCGTTAATATTTTATTTACAATAAATTAGGTGGTTAATATACGTTACTATACGCAATTTTTAATGCAAATTCCGGATATTCAATCGAAATTGACCTACGTGCGTTGCAACATGGCAAATTAGTGAAGCCTAAAACAATATGGCGGCTATTGGCTTCTTCTAAGCATGTCTGTTGGAACATGTAATTTTTCGTTTCATGATGTAATTATCATAACTCTGTCATTACTGGTCAAAAGTTTCTCCTTATTTATACACTTATCGGTAATGATAAATTGTATCTCTGTACAACTTTCCATTTACATGCCTCACAGAATGAAAACGTTATTCTGGTTTTTGTGATTGTTACCTTACTTTTGTCCACCAGTGTAGACAGTGACACAAAAGAAATTCATACAGCCCAAATGGAAACTTTTTAGAATTTCTTAGCAGTGCCTTTGTAGAATTCTCTAGAAATTTGGTAAGATTCTTGATAGGATTTCTGTAGAACCTCCATAGTATTTTCATACAGTGATTTAATATAATTCTATTGAGAGAAATTATAGAACCATTTATAATTTTTTCTTTAGAGTCTATAGAATTTTTTGCCTGGGGCCTCTCGTCTCCTGACTCGCGGAAAAGAATGCTATTAAGTTCTCCTAACTTAAAAAAGATCTTAAGCTTAAAGTATGGACAAAGCAGTGTCCATATTACGACAAGTATGCAGTATGGACATTGGGTATGATATATGTACTATCCATACTAATTACGAACGGGTGGCAACCTTAACCACACGTCCAGTTTCATACGCCTCGCAGAAATACACCATTTCAAAAAAATAATAATAATAAGTAAGAAACAAACTGAGCAATGGAGAGGTAGCGGACGGGATGATCCCTTCCATCTTTCCATCGATCACCATATCGAAACTCCTAAACGAGTCGTCATGTATTATATTCTAAATCCAGGGGGTTCCACATGTCTGTGCCGGTCTTACTACTGAGGAAAGAAAGGAGCTGAGAAAAAGAGACGAAGCACAATCTATTTCTCGTCGACTGGCAATCCCAAAGACTTCCGAGAACGAGCACGATGACAATAGCAGATACTTTATGCGCCATGGAAAGGCAGCCTGCTCCTTGCCTCATACGCTCGACAGGATAGCCTGGAAAGTCCACTTGCCCCGCGG